CGTGTATGTATAGCTGTATAGTGTTCTCCATTTACGTAAATTTATACACGCGTACATTTATATCCCATTGACTATCAAACATGTAGCGGTTTTAGGGGAAAGCTGATTTAAATCCTTAATGGCTCGCGTCGCCTAAATCGGCAATCGGGACGCTTGAATGTTTCACATTTATTTTCACATTGCCTCGACAAGAAATAACATAATGTATGACACATTATGCCGGCGCACGGGCGTGAATAAATGAGTACATTTCGGCGTTGTACGGTGCGCCGCGCGCGTACCGTCACACGCGTGCACCGGCAATTTTTCATTTGCCGCGCGACCCCCCGGCGCGACATTTCGCATCTGTAATATTCACGGGTCATCACCTTTAAAGTTTACATCCGAGTTTTCGCGGAGTGTGCCAACCCCGCGGTCAGCGAGCTCGGCGCCGCGGCCGCGAGGGCGAAAAGGTATAAGTCGTCGGGACCCTCTCTCGCGGCGAATCTGAATTTCGTATGTACGACGATCAATTTTCGAACGATCCGAAAGCGCGAGCGAGAGGAAGGCGCGCGGAGCGAACGCGCCGGAATATAATTTCAAATCGAGAGACGCATAATCGCGACGCGCTTTGAATAACTCGGGGGACTGTAACGTGAGAGACCTTTTGGGAAACTGCCTATCTCTCGGCGAGGGTTTTCCCGGAGCAAACCGCTTATCGTTCACCTGCAATAAGCTCGGCATCATGAGAGAATTTCTCCATCGGCTTCGCGTCGCAGTTGATGCGCGGAGCGTGGCCTCGTCGTTAATCCCTTGTCAATTTTCGCTCACGACACACGACACCGGGGACGAGATTACCTACGGTAATGTTGCATCGCCAATCGAACGAAATGAATTTCCGGGGCGCCGCCGCGGAGCTCGACCAATCAGACTTTCCTCTCTCTCTTCATCTCGTAAAAGGATAAATAATCTCTCTGAAGAACATTCTGCGATCGATGAAAAACGACGCAGCCCGTTTTCTATAATTATTCCACATTATGCACTAAGCTCATCCCTTCGGCTGAATAATTCATCGAGCGTTTGACGGCTGTCTACAGAGACGAATATGAGAAAAACCGATTACGGGAGGAGATTATGTTACGTCATAACCGTGAATTATAGGTCTTGTACAAGAGTTATTAATAAGAGTGAATCCGAAATGTGTATTCCCTATTTGTTCGTATTTATGCAATTACCGCCGTAATTTCAATTAAACGATCAAGTACATACAAACATTTTAGAAACAATGGAAAAGACGGGCAAATATTATTACCTTTCGACCACCCTCTAAATATTTAGATCTTCCTCAAATGCATTTAGAAGTTTTATGCAGCGCCGTCGCTACGATATTTATCGACGATATTACTCCATTTAAGCCATAAGTGGAGCGCAGCTGAAATGAGTAAAAAGTACAGTGGAAACGGTATGCATGCGTTTCATCCCCCGTAAATCTTGCGCCATTTTGTTAATCCTGTTCTGCGCGGAGAATATGCAACGACGTAATTACGTGCGAATGTACCAACCGCGCGAACAACCGCATAAATCGTAAACGAGTTAAGTGGTGAAGTTAGATTGCCCAGCGCTCATTGTTTTTTCATTGTTTAAGTGGATCACATACATATAGAGTGGCGGGGAGAGATGGCAGAGAGAGAGAGAGAGAGAGAGAG